AAGAGGGTTATTTCTTACCACCTGCTGACTGCAGCGGTGAGAACTAAATCCTTTTCCCTACCCAGGATGGGATATAGCTAGCCTGGAAACTCAAGGCTGGCGACAGAGACACGGTTCCAAGGAACATGGATAGGCTGGGAGAGGAGTTTGCATAACCAGATGGGGATAAGAAACAAGGTACTGTAGCAGTAACTAAAGCCTCGTCAACAAAGGCTACTTCAGTGCTGGTGAAAACTTGCAAATGAACTTCTGAATGTGGTCACAGGAAGGCTTCACATTTCCATTGGAGACTTTTCCATTTTACTACTGAATTAAAAACACACATACCCCTTTGCTTCTATCTTGAGACATTTCAGAGGATAATCTAAGGGAGGAGAACATTCTGTCTGGGAAGCATTTGGCGCATCAGCCTGCCAAGGCCCCGTCCACAGAAGACAGAGTATTCCAGGAGTTCGGAGCGCTTCGGAGAGGAGCCATGATCGGTCCCTCCACCACTTCTAACATCTCTTGTAAGTTCCTGCTAGACAAGCCAAGAGGTGCATCTGGAAGTCATCTAGTGACGCGTGTCTGCACATCCCCAGTTGTGCAGTTTTATCTCTTCGTGCTCCCACTGGCTTTTGCTAGCGGATGGATCCACGGCATGTCATAGTCTGCTTGAGCACTGAATCCGGACAGTTGCTGCAACACCCCCTCTTTCCGTGGGGTGGGAATGGAGATTCTGGTCCCCTGCTCCTTGGATCACATTCCTAGGAACACGACTTGGTGCGTAAGACCTCCCGGCATCGGCTACCTGCCTCCCATTCCGCACCTCGAGGGCTTTCAGCCCAAGAAGCCCAGAAAACAAGCGTCAGGTGCAGGCCAAAGAGCCACAATGAGTATTCCTTGGGAAAGTGGGATTAAAATCCAACGAACCTTGATGTGTATCGCAGAAGGACTGTGAGGGACAAAACCAAAGGCCTGGAATGGATCCTGAAAGAGAGAACTTGTCTCAAGATGCTGAAAAAAATAGCCAGACTCTTTAAGAAGTCCAGTATGTTGTCTGTAACCTTTGGGAATTTTTTAAAAGCCTTTCAAAGAACTCTGTGAGGCCTCTCTCATACACTTGAAAAATAAAACTCACCCCCAGGTTTTTTTTTTTTTTTTAATCTTTTCCGGCTGCTTTCTAGTTTTCCCATATTTTCCAATCGAATGGGTTAAAAATAATTGGCCCGATCCAAAGCAATTTTCTGCGAGGCTCGCGTTTACTCACTGGTAGAAGATGCCCGTTGAGAGGTCTTCTCTGCGTTCCTCAGGAAGCCCTCGCATTTTGAACCTCCTGACCAAGGGTGCGAAGTTGGCCTGACTTCTCTGAACAAAGCTCAGTGTGGACAAAAGTAGTAGAAGGACTTCCTCCAATGGAAGAGGTCTTTGACATGCACGTGGTGGGCATGTTGTGAGCAGAGCCGGCTGGAGCCAGGGGTCAGACTAGATGGCCCGGGAGGCCCCTTCTGACTCGCTCTGTTTTTGTGTTACTCTAGACCTCCACTATCTAACATGATTTCTTTAATGCTACTAGAATTTTGCATACACCTAAACAGAGACTCGTGGCATAGAGATTTTTGCCTCTACGATCATAAGAACATTTTCTTGAAATTAAAATGTTTAATCCTGATACTTCATTAAAAGCAGGCCTCATTTCAACACATGCGTTAGTTCAACCCCTTGATGTGTTCCTGCACACATCAAGAGTGTCTGCAAACTTCCATCTTCAGCACATCAGCTGAACACATACCCTTGGCTAACACAGGCGAAGATTCGGAACGAAATGAGCTCCCATCAGGCAATCCTCCTAGAAGGCTTCCTTCTGCCAAGCATGGCCACGTCACATTGGCGTGGTCTATGCGTAGTCATGTAGCCAAGCCCCGCTCGCCCCCAAATAGGGTGGCGAGTCTTCTGCAATGTGTATTTTTGGAGCCACTTACAGATTCGGCTTGTTCAGAAGTGTGGTTCCTAGAAATGTTGCTGTTTTTACTTCACACTACCTGCTTGGCACATGCTCGATGCATGTTAGCCTATTTCTGTCAAAAGGTCTGGAAGATGAGCATCATCAATTGTTAGTCATCAAAGAGAATCTTCCCAAGGAAAAACATGGCATCTTTCCTGGAAGCATGGAATCTTTCTGCACTAAAAATAATAAAAGGATAGAACTGGATATTTAATGAAGCTGCTGGGAAACACTCATCCTACTTTAAGCTTCTTCTGTCAACGAACCAGCTCCAATGGTGGCCATACGTGGATTTACTTAAGAGGAAGAGATTGTTCTTGTCCTATTTAAAAGCTTGGCGAGCTTGTTCTAACATGATCTTTTGTGGTGGAAGATTCTACTCATCCTCAGGTTTTCTTATGGTCCACTGTGCCTAACATGCTAACCCAGCTGAGTTGACAAAGCTTCTACAAAAGATGCTGTGGAAAACAGCAACCGCACCATTATTTTCTCACTGGGCCAAATGCACCATCTTAGTGATCAGTTCACCACTCTTGCCCGAAATTCCTGGTTAAAGTGGTTTTCAACATGAAGGCAGAATGCTGCCTTTAGGAGCCTGGTAACAGCTGGGTAACTTTGATAGGTTGGCTTTCCCAAGCTGGAGCACCCATAGTTGGTTCTTACTTAACTGGAAGCTACAGAAAGCTCTTGCTTTGTTTTATTTTGATTTAACTCTGATTTATTTTATGTTTACTTATTGTTTCATACAGTGTTACTGTGGATAGATGTTATTAGACATTTTAAATTGTTTATAAATTGCTGTAAGCCATCCTGAGATATTTATATATAGGATGGCATACAAAAATGTGTAGTAGTAGTAGTAATAATAATACAGATGATCTTAGCATGGAGAAGTGAGGAATGAGGTTCAGGTGGACCTACACAGAGATGTACAGGTAGTACATGAAGGGATTAGGATGGGGTGCTTGCGCATTGACCTTAAGCCAAGTGGACACAGGAGTATATTTGGAGATGGCAAGGTAATGATTTTCCTTGGACTATCAAATAACGAAAGGACACTCTTGTTAATGCGAAGATCAGTCTTCAAGGACTTGCTCAGAGTGACGTGAAGCCTCTGGGACTTCGTTTACATAATCAATTAACTTGCAGTAATTTGTGCGATGAGAACTGGTGTATACATATGGATGATGCTTCACCTGATACCGCAATTTGGTGGTGTTGGTGTTTTTATTTTTTATTTTTTTTAATGTAGCACCAGCGCGCCATTAAGCGAGGTGGCACCTCCTCCTACATTCCAGAGGATGATTGGAGAGGGAGTGAGTTGAGCAGAGCCTGTTTCAGGGCAAGCCTTCAAGAATTGCTTCTCTTTCATGCCAGGCAAAGTGATTGCGCACGGTCTGTTTTCCAGCAAGGCCAAGCAAGATCAGGGTGTCTGCTCTCACCTGGCCAGCAGGAGGACTGCATTTCCCAGGTGGAGCTCACCTTTCTGAGAGCACTGCAGTGGCCGCTGGCTGACCCGTGCTGGTCCTCAAAGCCGCGTGCCTGGAATCCCTTGGAAGGCTGTGTGGACCGAGGAATAACCCGGACCGTATTATGGCTTTGCTGCTCAGCTGCCCCAGAACCTGTGGGTTCTGCCAGAGCAAGCTTTCTGCTCAGAGCCCTTATTTTGCCATGTGCACTGGAACGTCCTTGTGCCGTTTCCCAGTGCCCTTTGCCATAATGACAATGGCAACACGGTAAGCCCTTTGCCTTGGCCATCTGAGGTTGTGTTGGGTGGGCTTGTGAGCGGGGTGTGACTGGGTGGACTCGCTGAATCCTAGGGGGCCTTGCGTATCTTGCACCTTTTAATGCAGCTTAGAACGTCTCTAGATGGTGGGTGACAAAACAATGCAGTCGGTACCCATTTCTCCTACTGCTTATGAGTTGTATTTTGAAAAGTCTGGGGGAAGACTTGGAGGGCAGCAAGCCACAGGGCAAGGTTTCCAATGGCCTGTTTTATCTGAATAGAATAAACATCATCAGCCTGACTCTCCTCAGTGATAGAAGTCACTGATTTATTCCCATTGTACAGATGAGCAACTGAGGCTGAGTGATGATTGTTGCTCAATACCATCCAGCATGTCCACGGATGAGCTGGAATACAAACTCCTGTCTCAGATCCAAGATCCAGGCACTACTGGAAAAATGCCAGTTCTCATATGAGATATGTAGGCATTTAAGGAGGGAGGGAGGGAGGGAGGGGGAGGATGACACTTAAATATGTATACCTGCTAGGAACTCACTGTTTTCTGATGCTCTGGGCCATATGAAAGAAGAAAAACTTAGCAAAGATAATTTGTATTAAACTGTGTGGTGTCTCTTTAAATGTAAAAAAAATCCTTTCCAAGGCTATGGAGAGAAAATGCTAGAACCGTGCACGATCATGACTAGAAAGCAGGATCTCTGAGTGGTCACAGAGTCTTTTCAGCACGAGAGAGGGAGAGAGAGAGAGTGAGAGAGAGGGAGGCTGGTCTCCTCTAACCTGCGTCTATTTAGGCAGAAATGCTTCTTCTCAAGAACAGATAGCGAGCCCAAAGGAGAAGGGAATGTGGCAGATCCTTGCCTCTGTGTCCAGACGAAGCAGCACCAGCAGCATCTTTGCTAGCCATGGAAACCATGTTTTTAAAGGGATTATTTCTGTGCAGTGTTGCCAGCAAGCCCTTCTGAAGACGCTGACTGCGCTGCAGTGCTTTGTGCTCTGGATTCTCTTTTTTGCACATATGTAATTCTGGAGGTTAAAAAAAAAATTCTGCCAGGGATTCAGAAGGCATCCCACTAGCGATCAGCTGACATTCCTAACTGAAGACTGCAATGTGTTGCTTATTCATTTTGTACTGTGAGAGCTGCAGGGAATAGCAGAGAGCCAAACTATGCATTTCAAACAGCAGGGCTTGTGCAAAAAGAGGGGTGAGAGAGAGGCAGCCGGCGAAGAACGAGCACAACTGGACTTTCTCCTTGTTTTTATCCATTTCTGCAGGATCATGTATTCATAAGGGATGAGGTGGGCCACGGGGAGCACAGGCCTGAGCTGCGGCCTACCCACTCAGTCCAGAATCAGGCCCTCCACTACCGGAACCGAGAGCACTTTGCCACAATCAAATCAGCATCTTTGGTAAGCACCACACCCCTCGACCCGCTACCCCTTTCCCTCCTCGTTCCCATGTGCCTGTGCCTGTCTGGGGTAGGGTCAGGCATCCTTCCCTTCCCCAACGCCCTCTTCCCCCCCTTTTTTCTCTCTTTTTGTTGGCATAGCAACGGGATATTGCAAGACAGGGGGTTTTTTGTTTTTTGTTTTTGGTCTTGATAGAAAATGTTGGAAATCTGTCGTATAGCCTTTAGGATCCTTTGCCGCTTGTGGAAATTTCAACATGGCTTTTGGAGGAAGAGTGTGTGTGTGTGTGTGTGTGTGTTCCTCTGATTGGTTTGTTCCAAATTGCATCCATTTTTGTTGAGTATAATTTCTGTCTGTCGAGGGGGGAGGAGGGGGAGGCTGCCTGCCTGACTAAAGGTATTGATGCTTATAATTTTAATGAGTGCTGATGGATTTCTCCAGCGGAAGGAACGGCCAGTGCCTCTCCTGGCAAATTGCAGGCTGTTTCCATTCATTCATTCATTCGTTCATTCATTCATTCATTCCTGCTCCTTCCCATCCCGAGAACGGCACTGTCTGTTCCCATCTGACCGTAGAAAGGACCGGGGCAGCTCCTAGAAAATGTCAGAGGATTTGGGCTTGCCTTTTCTTGCAGGAGGCTGCAAGAAAAGCGGGCGAGGCAGGACAGTGGAGGCTCAGGAAGCGTTTGTATTCTTGCAAATGTGATTGCTAGTGGTGCCTTTGTAGTAGCAAAAGGGGTGTGTGCTGGTTGAGAGTCAGGTTGATGCCTCCTCCCCCATCCTTTCCTCGTCTCTCCCTCCCTCTCTCAAACACACACGCGTGCGCGCACACGCACCCCCCCCATACACACACACAGCTGGAAATTGACAGCAGTGGGCAGAGGAGGGGTTGTGATGTTCCACAAACCAGAAACGCTCTCGGCCATGGCGAACGATACCGATCTTTGGTGTCTCAGCCAAATCGGTATTAGAGGTCACATGGGCTGAGGAATTTACAGGGTGCTTAAATTTGGTGGTCGCATTCGCTGCCTGCCATTATGACATCACCATGAGCCAGCCCAGAAATTACAATGGATAACCCTCCCCTGTGTGTGTGTGTGTGTGTGTGTGTGTGTGTGTGTGTGTACGCGCGCGCGTGTGTGTGTGTGCACGCCTTGCTTTGTATCCGAATGATTTTTCTCCTTGGCCGCTTCCCCGAGCGCTGTCCACAGCGTCTCTGTTCTCCACCCCACTTCCATCTTCGAGCACATCCAAAGGTTGTGAGCCCCAGACAAAAGGTGGGTTGCGGAGGAGAAGGCACCTGCAGGGAGAGGCACTGCTCTCCCCTCGTGCAGAAGCGGTGGTGTCCGGAGCCCTCGCCGCCGGCGTGCATCCCGAGAGGGGCGGTGTGTGTGTGTGTCTGTCTGTGTGTGGCATGGAAAAGTGCTCCCTTTGGAACTTGATGACCTGGATGCGTAGGCATGGAAGCATGGCTTTCCAGGCAGCGTGCCTGAGCACCTCCTCCACGCACAGACCTCCCTTCTCCTCCCAGAGCCTTGTGAAGGGCGCTCCGCGCCACCGAGATGCCTTAGTGCCTCACGTGCCACAAAAACAGATCCCGTTCGCAACAGATCCCGTTCGTGCGGCCTCCCAGTCCTTCTCAAACTCTCGCTACAACACCGCTTGGTCCCAGCTTGGGCCTCCGAAGCGCGACCCTTCTCCCAGGGACAAGGGGGTGGGACGGAGTTCTGACTCGGGCAGAACAACACCGTCGTGGCTCACATCGCCTGTGTATATCTTTGTCCGAAACCTGGTGAACGCCGGCCCCAGACACACCGGTGAATGTTGACGGCCACCTCCGTGGGCATGCCAGCATTTCTTGTATAGGCCCTAAAAGTGAGGAATAAGTATCTGTTTTGAACACTCGCAGCTGCATTGATCAGCAGTCACCAAATTTGGAATTTTTGCTGAAATCCGGTACTTGACTAGCTCTGGAGCAGCCGTTGCCACCCCATAATGTCTGAGGAGTGTTTGCATGCTCCAAGGTACTCTGCTGACAACAAGGGGAAGGGATTAGCATATGCACAACCAGCTACTACTGGGTGTTTTAGGTTTGTTTCCTGCCTTTTGCAGCCAGGGTCTCCCGTTGAGCAGAACTGGCTCTCTTACTGCTGTTTGCCAGGTGGCGTGTCCCCCGTTTGCGCCTTGGGAACATGGGCTGGGATGGTGGAAACCGAGTTCCACCAGTGCTGCTTCCTTACCACCAGTGGTGTCTGCCTAAGCACGTGGATAAATGTTGCAGTGGAACTTCATCTCTTAGCAGAAGTCCTGGCCACCCATGACCTTCTCCCAGGACTCTGCAGGCAGCAGCAGGCCATTCATACAACCCCGCTCCCCCCCATCCCGCCCCTGCTCCGCTCTGCTCAGGTGAGCCCATGTGTCCAGAGCTCCTGCAGACCACCGAGCATGCTGCGCTCTCGCTTGCACCGGTTGCTTCGGTGGCAAGGGGAGAGGCCGTGGCTGCTTCGAAATGTTGGCCCTTCGCATGCTCCCAGGCCCGCCCAAGCACCCCAGTACTTCTCCCTCTTTTCACAAGGGCTTCCCTTCTGCCAGCGCTCGCTTTCTGATGTCACTCGTAGAGGAAGGGAGGATGAGGCCTGAGGTGGGCGTTCATTCTTTCGTTCGTTCATTCATTCCTCTTCTGCACTGCTCACTACCCAAAACTCTCTGGACAGTTCACAGAATGGTAAGATGTGCAGCCTTTAATATTGATGCACAAAAACTGGGTTTGGAGGGCAAGGGACACACTGCACTTCCTCTTGTAATGCCTGTTCCCACTTTTAGACCGATGAATCTCTCAAGCGGCTGCATCCTTGCCCACCTTGATAAAGACAGTCGGACATGGCAGCCCCTCCGTGGCCCGGTTTCACGTGGCCCGTGCCATTCATCCTCTTTTGACCAGACGGAGCCTCTAGAAATTCTCTCTCCTCTTGCAAACTTCCTCTTCTGCACTGCCATATCCTGGTGTCATGGGCGGCTTATAACGTTTTTACATCTCTTTCGCCTGAATTGCGCCACCAATTTTTACTCTCCTCACTGTTTTCTTTCAGGTACCTTGATGGTACTTTTTTAACCCAGAAAAACATGTCCTCCCCGCCATTTCCACAGAGGTAGCCATGTTAGTTAGTTGCAGTAAAGGGAAAAAATTGGAGGCGGTTATTCTGGTACATACTTTTGTGGACTTGTTGATGCCGCCAGAAGGCATCTGAGGAGGTGAGCGGTGTCCACAAAAGCCTTTGCCAGAATGAATGCATAAGTTTGTCTTTTAAGGTGTTACAAGCCTCTTCATTTTTCTTTTAACATAATTGGAAGGAGTGTCAGACATGAAAAAAATGCTGTCAGCTGTAAAGGCAAGCTGAGGTTTCCAGGCATTTCATAATCTTTTTTTTTTTTTTAATCTAATGAACATGTGGACACCTGTTTTCATATCATCCGTACAAATGCAGTATGCCGATTTGACAAATGACAACAAACATGTAAGCTTTCCTATGGTATTTTATCGAGTATTTTACGGTTTTAATACTTGTGCGCTGCACAGCAAGCTTTGGGTATCGGGGAGGCATGGAATAGTAAGAGATAAACACACAGCTAGTGACTTCAGCAGTAAGTGCTGGATGCTGTTTAGCCCCTCTGCCTAGGGACCTGGCTGGCCAGGGGTGACACCTTCACACATCCCTCCCGGAGCAACTTGACCTGGTAGAATCTGTCCCCACCCCAGACAAACACTCTGGCCTCTGCTTCTTCCTCCGTCATTTGACTGGGTTGTAGAGGATGGCCAAAGAGGGGTTTGTTTCATGGCCCTTTTTTGTTCTGAAGGATGCTGGGTAAACAAGAGCCAGCACCTGCCCGGTGAGAGTCGGGGGCCCCAAAACTAAGTGGCAGCCGCTTGGTGGGGGTATCCAAGGAGGGCAGCTTTGTCACTTCGCTCTTGCCCTTCTTTTTATGCAGAACTGGGGTGACCCCATGCCTTCTCCCGCAAATAAGCCGGTTTCCGCCTAGCCAGGGGACTTGCCACATGCGCAGAAACAGATTAGTTTGCGAATGCGATTGGAACAGGTCAAAATGGCCCGACCATTTGACAGCCTTCTAACCAGGAAGGATATTCGCTGACTTCCCCCAGTCCTGCCTTAATCTGGAGTCCTGCACTGAGCAGGGGGCAGGACCTGAGGGCCTTTCTGGCCTCACCCAGCTCTGGGATTCCATGGTCGTATGTTGCTTTTCAATTTAGACTAAGGGGCAGAAGATGCCGTGCAGAAGGGAGAAATGGAGGGGCTCCGCATGTCTGAGCCTAGTGTCAATGTGTGCTGTGAGATTTAAGAATTCTCCACCCCATGCTATATGGCAAGTTCTAGGTGCAACCCTCTTCCTTTCCCGCTGTCTACAAACCTCTCTCCTTTCTGTCCCCAGTCAGCAGCAAGGAAGCAGCCATGTTTGCAGAAGGGTTCAAACCTGGATCCCCAAGCACCACAGAGCAAGGGAAAGTTTCAGGATAGGGGAAGTGGGGGGAATCGCTGTTCTTTGCTTCCTTGCTTCCCTCCCTGCCTGCCTTCCCGAAAGCCCCAAAATGCATTACAACTTTCCTAACTGGGGCTGGTTAGAACACTCCTTTTAGGTCCCCACTTGTTCCTCCTCACATCACACTTGGCGGCCCCATGCCACTCTGTGGCCAGTGGAAGTGGGGGACCCGCAAGAGAGGAAGGGGCTCCTGCCTCTTCTGGACACCCCAGATAAGCAGCGATATGTCTGTGTGCAAATTAAAGCAGAGTGGGCTGGGGGAGCACTTAGATGCCCAGGACTGAATGTTCAAGGTGTGTGTGTGGAGGAGTGCGTTATCTTATCTCTCTGTATGCCCCACCTTCTTTCCCTTCCAAGGAACCCAGGTCGGCTTCCATCATTCTCCTTCTGCTTGCAGTCTGATCCCCACAACAACAACCCTGTGAAGTAGGTTGAACTGGGCAGCTG